CATAATAATTATTATTAAATGTGTATATAGTGTTGTCCTTGTTCTTCTTATAAACTGAACCATTGAATTTAATACCAATTATTTTTATTTTATAAAATCACATTAATTAAAAATTATAATGTCATAATTAATTTTTATTAACAAAAAAAATTAATAACTAATTAATAATAATATTAATTGTTAATAAAATAATTTTCGATTTAAATTATTTAAATTAATAGGTAATTATTATTATGTAAGTATAAATAAAAAATTTTATAATTTATTATATTTTATGATTTTTTCTGCTTGTATTTCCGTTTTGAATTGATGATAATTAATAAGTAATAAAAATAAACAGTTAATTATAAAAACATAGACTTAATTATAATTAATAAATGCAGTATATCGTGGGTGTTTCGTTAAAGTTTTCAAATAAATTCAGGAATTATTCTTTGATTAACTTTCAGTACAATACCGAATGGGTTGGGGAAGGGAAGGACGGTACAAATTATCCATTTTCGAGCTATAGGCTGTTGAAAAAAATATAAATAAAAACTTATAATTTTGGAGTCGTGAAACATAGAGTAACAATATTAGACACACTTGCGTTTTAAAAATAATTAATGGATTTCTATTTTAATTCTTGCGATTAATTATAACTGGCTTTTAGTTTTCGAGCTAAAAGTTAAAAAGCACGAAATTTCTCGGGAATTTTTTTTATCTTTTTTTTCGATACGTTGCAATAAGAGGTAACAGTCGTCTATACATTTTTTTCTTTAATCTCTCATAGTTTTGCCTGAAATTATTTGCAAATTTATGAGAAACACCCTGAACGAAATTAGAATATGTAGCCTATAGTTAAATCATATGAACTGTTTTGATTTTATACCTAAAACATCTAAAAATACATTGCGTGTTCATAATACGTTGTGATGTTGCAGTACTGCATTTCGCGCAGTTATTGTTCTGTAGTATTGCGTTCATGATAATCTCTAACAATTTTATTAAATTTAAATTTTTATACAAAAAAATGTTAATATAATATTAGACTGCGTGTTATTGTTACTGTAAAGCAATGTGAAGAATAATTTCCCGGTAGTTTCTTCATTTCCATTATTTATTAAAAGGGAATTTCCGTTAGTTATATAGTGTTTCCTGTTAATTATTTCATACTTTTCAATAATGATTGAACAGGCAATAATAGAATTTACTTTAGATATTTATTATTTATAGATTTTGAGTATATGAAAATATTTCTATCTTAGAACATAATAAGTAATAACCCTTAATTTATAACAAATTATTGTTATGGACCCAACTATAGTGTATGAGAGGCATGACCGGTACGCTACCTAGAATAATAATTTACGACTTTTTATTTGCTATTACAGTGGCTATTCTAAAAATTAAAAACAAAAATTCATATGTAATTAATTATTTGTGTATTTGAGTTAAAAATATGTATAAGCAATTAAATTTTTGTTATAAAAATTATATACTTAACATAAAATATATGTGAAATACCTACATATATATGACATTTGTATAAAAATGATGTTCTTTAGTACTAACATTTCGTGGCAATTCAATATATAAAAAGTGGAAACTTTTTAATTTATTTTAATTAAAAGTTGAAATATAAAAAGCAATTATTATTGGAAAATATATTATTTTGAACGTAATGCTGTATATATTTATATATTATTTATATAAGTATGTATGTATGCATGCAAAAACCATTATCCTTTTTTATGTCACATATTAATTATAACGCAAAATACTATAAAAAATATATTATGTGAATAATATTGTGGTATAAGTTAAATGTTTTCGAGAGAAATTTATAATGTCAGGTATGGTTAACAAGTGTTTTTGTTCGGACCAGATCGGAAAAAGAGAAATATTAAATTTTTGAAGTCAATTATTAAACAATTGATTTTAATTTTTATTTTTCAAAGAAAAGGAAACGGTTTATGATAATTAATACATGTAAAATGAGGGAAAAGAAAATAAGTTTTAATTAAGTATATTCGACGAACTGTGCAGCGCAGGAAATGTTATTTAAAACTAGAATGAATGTTTTATTAACGAAAAGAAGGAAATTGTTTTCTATAACAAATAAAATTCAAGAAAAAAAATTAATTGTATGTCAATTCTATGTGTTATTTGAGCTAACGTTTTCAAGAGATAACATGTCGTATTATGGTGGGTGTTCTCTGGTATATGCGCAATAGTGCAATTTGGGAGTACTCCGTGTAAGTGAAAAAATAAGAAACTGTATGCCATGAAACATATAGGGCGCATTTGCGGAAAAGCATGTGAATATCGAAGCCTGACGACTTATAGGTGAGATAGTTAGGGCAAAAGGACTAAAGTGAAAAAACCTCTCGATTTATTCTAAAATGATGAGACAGCACTTCCGTGCCTTTTTTCACGGAATGTGGACACAAAAATACAATAAAGCAAAGCTAACGCTTAGCCAGTTTGATTTGTTTTGGGAGTTTATAACCATCCAGGAACTTTTTAGGTTGGTTTAAAGTCTTCAATTGATGATAGGTTTGACGACTTTGGGTTCGCCTATATTTGTATTTCGGACGATAAATTTTATTGAAATTGTGACCCTCTTAAAAAAGCCGTTTGTGTAAATTTTAAACACTGTGGTTTAAATTATTTGAGTACTTATTAATTTTAATTTACTTACGAATTTGTATATGATAATTTCATAAAGCTATACTTAAGAATCACTATATCGATCAAGCTTAAATCAAATAAAATGTTTGTGCTTATTTATTTTATAATTAAATTTAGGAGAGGGATAGGCAGTCAGTCGCAATTACATGGAATTAGACGAAATATCTCTTAAGATCTTTATTCTTTAGTTTAACAAATAAACTGGTATTTCGTGGAAATCTTCGAATATGTTGTGTAAGATTGTTAAATATTTTCAAGTACGGTACGGGTAAAAGACTTTAATTTTTTGAGATGCTATATTACAGAGCTTATTGCACATAGCTACTTAACTGCGTAGTATAGTAGCAAGAAATTTTAAAAATAGAGTTTGGTTAAATTTACCAATACGATGCGGACCGTATATTATCTATGCCCTATTTGTGTGGTTATGAAAAAATGTATGTAAGTGTGACATACATAATTGCATGATGCATATTTCTACATGCATGCAATAATTTATATGTGTTTAGTTATATATTACAATATTGTTATATGATTATATATGCACTTACACATTTGTTTTTGCAACAAAAAAAAAACTGAATTTTGATTATAAATTAAATTTTAATTATTTAAATGAACGTTGGTATTTATTCTTAATTGATTTAGAAATAAAAAAAAATGACGACAAACATACATACATATACATACATATAAACTTCAATTATAAATAATTAAATAATAATTAATAAAAAAAAATTAACGAGGGTGTAGTTGAGGATTTCAATTATAGGGAAATTTATTTATAGCAGGTACATAAATATAAAACCTAATTAAAAATTGAATCTGGCAGATTGTTATTTAATATATATAAGTGCTTGTATACATGTATACGAATTTAAGGAAATTTTATAAATAGAATATAAATCGATATACGTTTGTTGCTACGAATAAATAATGATTAAAGCTTTGACATTAAGTTTAAAGTCCTGTAGTTATTATTAATAATTTTAAAAGAGAAAATTTGAAATTTGATGTTATTTTGTGTGTTACAAGTAATTGGTTTCTGGATGATGATAAAATATGAGTTCCATAAGTGATAGCCTTAAAGAAATATTACAAACGGGTTAACTGTTAATAAAGTGAAAAATTTGTTTTAAAATGAAAATGGCTTATGTTAGCGAATATCAAGCCGTTAACGTTAATGTAGATTTTGAAATTGTACTATATATAGATCTATGTCTCAAATTGCGAATTAAATATTCACTTGAATGTTAATCATATTTCATAAATCGTTATTGTATTTTAGACTAGTTTTATCTTGATATATCCTCATTTGTTAAGGGAGTTATTAAATGGAAAATGAAGCTGATAAACGCCCTAACCTAAAATAACCTAAACAAAAATCAACGAATTTCGATTTAATTCTGACAGCATGCTATATGAACTGCGCGAAACAACCTGTTAATTAAAAAAAAAAACAGCCGAAATTCTTTAACATTCTTGATGTTTCAAACCTTGTTTTAAATTATTTACTTACTAATATTAAATTGGAAATATTTTTTGAACTTTTCCTAATTTTAAGTTTATAATTTTAATATTTTTTTAAGTCTAAAGTACCATGCCACTGCAAATAATTATAAATTCTTATGTACCAAGAAAATTTTGAATTAAAAGAAATTTTTTCCTCCTAATTATTATAATAAAAACAGCATTAATTTCCCAGTTCTCAGTATACAAGAATAGTAAAAAGGATTTTCTATTTTTATAACAATAATTCAAGGTAAAATTCTATAATAATTAAATAAAAAGGTACTTTTTAATCCTTTTTATGTACATATACCTTTTATGCTAAAGTAATTCCCATTTCTTTTTACTTTAACTTGGTTTCCTTTTCTATATTATAGCATTTTAATTAATGTCTACTACGTGAACTTACTTTATAAAATCTACGCATTGTATAAATTTTAATCAATCCCTGCATATTAAAAGTAGAAAACTCTTTTCGAGTAGTATTCCTGAATCTGAATAAAATACCATTAAATAAATAAAATATGAAAAATAGGAAAAATTATTTTAAATAATTTTATTAAAGCAAGCCAGATTATTTTAAAAATTGTTGACATAAATGCGATCAGCTTATATAGAAGTAAACCAAAAACAAATGTGGAATAAAATATTTTGAGTTTTGAATATTCTTTCTGCTTTCCACATTAATTTCAGACGACTTTTTAATTATAAAATTTAAAATATACTAAAAATTTAAGAATATTAAAAATTTATTGAAAATTACCAGCTCTTAAATACATGAATTAATCATATTTATTTTTATTTTAATATTATAACAGGTGGTGTACATATAGAGAATGTCCGATATTGAACAATTTTTGAGAGAAAAAAGATTGCATCGATTAAAAAACGATCCCGGAACCAGAATGGTTAGCTCATATGTCTATCAAAATCCATTGACAGTACCAACAAAAATACCAACAACAAATTTTAGTAGCTTTTTATTTCCACCATCGACAATACATGCAGCATTTCCAAATTATGATGTTCCAAAAGAATTATATACAAGATTAATTGATCCAACAAGATCAGCAATAGCATCAACTATAACAGCACCAAGTGCTTTTTCAATACCACCTGAATCAAATAGAAATTTAAAAAATAATTTAATAACATCAAATCATCATGTACAAGATTCAACTATATTAAAAAATGATAAAATTTCAACAATACAAGATAAAAATTTACCGAATGATATGCAAAAAGAAATTTTCAATTTAGAAAATAAAAATTCAATTTTAAATAATCATTATCAAAATAATAGTAATAGTAATGATAATCATAATAATGAAGTATCTATAAGTTCATCAGCAACTCGTCCAAATACAGCACCACCATATTTAAAAAATAAAAATGAAAATTTGAGACCGTGTTCTGAACCTCGCCATTTAATAACAAATTCGACTGATAGTTTATATTCAAAAGATGAAAATCTTAATCAACAACATCGACATGATCAAATTGATGAAATTGATAAAATAAATTCATCATCATCGGTAACTGATATTAGTAATATGGAAATTGACGATAAAAATGATAAATTTAATAATAGTGAATCATCATCAGTATGTAGTAGTTCCGAGAATTTAAAAGCATTTTCAACAAATAATAATATTAGTACAACAAATATAGAAATAAATCTGCCTAAAGCGAATAAAGCAACATCTATTGGTACATCATGGCATCCACATGTTTATGCTAGGCCACCAAATAGGCCAACATCATATTTAATCTCTGATATATTAGGTTGGAGTGCACAATATAACAATAACAATAATAATAATCAATATAATATTCAACAAAAAAATAATAATAAAAATGAATCAAATTTAAATAAAATATTAGAAAATAAACAATGTACAAAGAAAGCTGAAAATATTATAAATGACATTAAAGTTCAAAAAATTAGTCAATTAGAAAAATTAAGCCCTCAACATAATGTATCAACAAGTGAAGCCAGTGAAGATGATAACAGTATATTCTCAGATCAACCATTAAATTTAAGTGTTAGCAAACGTAGTGAATCTGTTGCTACAAATGATGATGAAGAAAATGAAACGTCAGAGGAACGAAGTGAGTTATAAAATTTTTTATTTTCGAATATTATTCAAGAAATTTAAAAAAAATTTGTAATATAACTTGGGTTTGGGACTGAACGTGCCTTAAAAATATAATTTTTTTAAATGAAAATGAAAAATATAATTGAATCGATCTACAATTATTGATTGTATAACATTTTTAAGAAATTCTTGTTGAATGTAAGGGTAATATTTCAGCTAATTTTCTAGTTGACAATCACCTGATTGCAGGCCATTATCGGAATTCTTACTAATTGTGATAATTGGTAATATGTTTGACTACATAACGTCAAATTTATATTCAACTTCTGATGATAAAAACTGTATAAGACCTGAGTTCCGTCTATTACTATAAGAAATATACCTTTGTTTTTTTTAATTGTTTAAAATAATATTTAATTTTTATTTTAATTTTTCAGCACCAATTAAAGTACGTTTAAGTAAAAAGAAATTGTCACCACAACATCATTCAGATGATTCAAAATCAGCAAAAAGTTTAAAATTACATGAAACAACTGATGATTCAGATTCAGAATCAATTGATAATAATCAATCATCGTCTAGAAAGAAGAAAGCAAGAACAACATTTACTGGTCGACAAATATTTGAATTAGAAAAACAATTTGAAATAAAAAAATATTTAAGTTCAAGTGAACGTACTGAAATGGCAAAATTATTAAATGTAACGGAGACACAGGTTAGTATATCCATTAAGAGTAGATAATTTATTTTCCTCCTTTGTTTTCGTTAATTTTTCCAATTGCCAACTCCTAAACAAATCATTTTTAATGTCATAATTGCATGTCATGTACATACACTATTATTTATACTGAAAATTGATTGCAATCTATTTAAGAATAGAAAAAATGATGTAAGAATTAGTATTAATTTGTAAACACCCCAATTAATCGGAAGAAATCATGTCGTAATTATGATGTTTTCAAAATTCTAATTTTCCATACTGTATAAATACTATGTACATACCCTATTACGCATATGTATATAAAAATAAAGCTGTGTGTGCATTTCATATATAAATTGTATCGATTCAAGTCTATTAATATTTTTTCAATTTAATTTTTTTGGAATAAATATTTGCCATACTTTTAATATAATTTTCCGTGAATTGATGCAAATAATTTTTGATTTAAAAGAAAAAATTGATATATTAAAATGTAATTATATTTCTCTCATTTTATAAATTAGATTTGATTAGCCAATTTGTAATTAACAGAAATTTTTTTTTGATATATTGAAATGTTTATTCAATACTTAATTCAAATAAAATCTATTAAAAATTTCATTTCTATTTATTTTTACTTTATTGATTTCGAATTTTATAAAGTTTCGGTATTTTAAGTTTCTTTTCATTTTAATAAACCGCAGAAAATTTTTTATTTTATTTTCTTTTTTAATTCTTTTTTTATTATTATTATTTTTATGTTAATGATTCATTTTTTGAGAAGGAAAGCAAAGAAATACTCTGAATGATTTGATACTATTGTACGTGAATCGATTTTGATTTTATAGATCGAAATATGTGAATAATTGTTCCAACATGAGTGGGATTTGACAATTCGTTTTGATAGAAACAGAAATTTTCATTGTATTTAAAAATTCCTTTCTCTCTCGCTTTTTTACTCACTTTTTATTCACTTACAAATTAGAATTCACAGTAGTTTCTAAACTCATTTTTTCAATTGGATTTTTGCATTTTTTCTCAGGTTATCGACTAAACGTCTCACTTTCAAAAACAAAGTGAATAAATTTTGTATGCATTTTAGAAGAAAACGAGATGCAATACTTTCTCGCTCGAAAATTACATTATACAAGTAGATGATAGTTTCTGAGTAAAATAGCGAGATAGGCGATCAGGCCCTTAAACTTGTCTACAAGTGAGGTGAAGTTTAAAAGTCTGATGTTTTTATATTGTATAGTCTAAAAGTGAAATTTAGTTGAAGATTAATTACATGCTCAAGCTGCTCATACGCGTATATACCTTGTTTGCAAATGAAACTGAATTGTTTCGGTATATACGTAAAACAACCTAAATTTTTTTAATATATGTTCATAGCTGTGCAAATGTCAATTTAATAAATAAAGGCATTTTCAATATTATAAATGTCAAAATAATTTTGAAAACAGACGATCCATCTGCTGTAAATTAAAAACACTATTTTTATATTACCCGAAAAAATTAATGGTACTACACAAAATATCATTTACGTATTTTTGCGCTGTGCTCAGTTTTAGCTATTTATGAGCAGTTTGAACATGTAAATGAAACGCAAATATTGTAGTCACTTATATAATGTGCACAATCAGAGGGGTTACTGCATTGCAACAATTAATTTTTGGAAAAATTATTTAATTTACTTTATAAAAATATTTTGTTTAAAATATAGAACAATTCCATTTCATTTTATTTTTTTGTTTTTGCTCGAAATTGTTAATCAAAAATTTTTTAATATTAATTTTCAACAATTTCTTTTCTTTGATTTATACACGCAATCATTAAAAATTTTAAATTTTATTTAAATTAAACAAAATAAATGTGTATAATGTGTAAAGAAAACAAATTAATTGAAATTTAAATTAAAATGTTATAAAACAATCAAAAAAGTGTTGCGAATCTGTAATAAATCAAAGAAAAGAAATGATTTTAGACGCGAAAAAGAGAAAACCTAAAAAAAACATTGAAAAAAATTAAATTTTTATCTGTTTTATTTTAAGTTATTTGTTTAATGACTAGACTTTTTGAAAATTTTTATTTTTAATGTAGTTCAAATTATACAGAAAATATTATATTTCAAAGTAATTAAATGAATTTATAACACTGTTTGTGCAAGTGATTTATAAATTATGTTCTCTATTACAAGATATTCTCATTTAATAAATTTTATTGAGTGAAGTTATAAAAAAAAAAAACTGGGTCAAACCAATGGTTTGAAAAGTACCACTTTTCCCTTCAACAAGTGAAATTACTGCTTTTAAAAACAATCTAGATATTACATTAAGTAAATTTTTATTCTTTCATTCATATACCAAAGTATATCCAAAGATAACATACATCTTATTAACTGCTACATCTAATTAACTATTTCTTAGTGCCTAAAAGTCGACTACAACTTGCGGTCTAGAAGAAAAACGATTTCAAAAATTTGAAAAAAAAAAGATTTTAGATAACGGTAAATTGTAAACGGTAAAATTCAAAAATGATATGTCACAGTAGAAAAAAACAGGTACTATTTTTCTGCGTTTGTAGAATTTAAAAAATGTTTGTGGTTTTGTTACAATGAATATTTAAAAAATGACATTTGTGGGTCATAACTTTTAGATGGGAGGGGATCTATATATATATAAAATTTCGACTTTTTATCTTAAAGGGTGAAGAAATTTTGTAAACAGATGCATAGACGGACAGAGTGAAATCAATAACCAATTTTTTTTCAAAATTTTTTGAAAAATTTCTTAAAAAAAAAAAACAATTATTAATTTTACGAAGTTTTTGAATCAAAACCAAAAACTATTCTCAAATTCTATTGAAAAAAACCAAATTACCTAGAAAGAAAGCAATTTTCTTTTTCTATCGTGAGATGGCGTATAGAACAAATTGTACTTAGACAAAATGAGGAATGAAATAAACCATTTTTGTAAATCAGTTTTTTTTTTTTTTTCAAAATTTTTAACAATTTCAAATATAGTTTTTCGTAAGTTGCTGAAGTCTGAAGTCTTAGACTGGTAAAATACAAAAAAAAACCAGCTAAAATTGAAAAACATTTGATTAAAAAAATATGTTTTTATCTCTTTTATAATTTTATTATCATCTCTTCAACTAAAATTAAAATAACATTATGTATAAAAAAATTTTATTTAAAATAATTGAATATGCAACGTTTTTAAAATTTATTCATACTAATTCCATATATGTTTGTGTATTCCAGGTAAAAATTTGGTTTCAAAATCGTCGAACAAAATGGAAAAAACAGGATAATATTTCAAATTCTGAAGCAGCTGAACATAAATCCTTAAGTCCAAAATCAATAGGAGCTAGTGAAGCTAAAAGTGCTGCAAAAGAGAAAAATTCAACAAATTTAAAAAGAAGTAGCCGTGAACCAATTAGCGATCAACCATCAAAAAAATTCTCAATATCATCAGACTCTAATACAATTACTACTGTTACAGAAAAATTATCAGCTAAATTGAAAAATAGTGAAAAATCAAAATCTAAAAATGAATCTAAAACTATAGATAAGAATGATGAAAAAAATTCAAAAAATTTATCAACAAATTCGAGTGCTACCGAAAATCAAACTTCATCAGTGAAACATGAAATTGATTGTGAAACAAAATTAAAAGCTTACAAATTAAGTACTAAAACACAAAGTAATGATAATGAGAAGAGTAAAGCAGACTTATCAGATAGTAAAAATACTGAATTATAGGAGTCGTCTTAATATAGAAACGTGGAATCTTTTTTTTTTTGTGAAAAATTTTATTTTGTTTTTTTTAAGAATTTTTGTGTTGTAAGAATTGTTTAGTTTTAAAATTTTGACGCCAAAAATATAATATAGAAATTAAAAAATATAATTATATAAGAAAAAATAAATTTGATAATTTAATTTTAATAGGAAAATAGACAGGGTGTCTATATTTGTGAGTGTGGTTATATTTTATTTTAATACATAATATCAGAATATTTGAAGATGGGGGCTGTATATGGACTTGGTCATCCATAGTCATATTTGTATAATATAATATTGCATAAAATTTTTTGTTTAGTTTTAAAGAGATTTTTATAGTTAAAATTCACTGATAAAATTTTCTTAAAAAATTCAATACTAATGCAATTATTGAATTTTAATCTCAATTTTAAGTTTAATATTTAAAAAAATCAATTTAAGTGTGTTAAGACTTATCGACTTATTATCTTAATTTTTAACTCTTATACAAGTGATTTTTGAAGCAAATGTCATTATTAGTTCTTAAAACGCTCTATGTAATGTGGCAGTACCGAAATTTTATTTTCGTAAAAAATAAATAAAAGTAAAGTATAATAACTTGATAGAGGATCATTTAAGAATACAAACTTTGTATTCTTAAATGATCCTCTATCAATATCCTAAATGATATTTACATACATATAATTTAAAATTTTACATGGAAGAAAAAAGTTCACAATTAAATATTTTGATTATATTTTCAAAAAAATTATGATTAGACAAACGTTTTTTTAGCAAATTCTTAAAATTTATTGTACTCTAAATTATATTTGCTCCAATATTATTTGCAAATGAATTTTTAATAATTTTGATTTGTACTTTTTAATCTTTTTATTCGGATACAGGTAAGTAACATACATACTTATGCATTTAATAATTAAGTTACACATCATAAATGTATCAATCTTAAGATTTTAGATTTTGATAGGAGAAATGTGATAAAGTATGTATATATAGGAGCATACATATGTAATTCAAACGACTTCCTCGAAAAAAAATCCTGTTCCTATTATTTACCTTCTGATATAGATTTTAATAAGAACCAATTGAGGATAAAAGATTTATTTATGCATATTTTATTAAAAATTGCCTTGAAATATCAAATTTGACAAAAAAATATGATCAATAGTAAAAAGCAGATATCTGGCAATGGTAACACCTAAAGTACTTAGCAAGAAATCTCCCTTAAGAAGACAAAAAAGAATAATATATTTAGGAACCTATTTAGAATTAAAGTTCTGTTCATTTTATAATTCATTTTTATAATTAATTTTGCATATATACAAAATATAATTATAAAACTAAGTAATTTGTACAAAAAAAGTCCAGTGCACGTGGGTGTTATAAATAATTCAAATCAAAGTAAAATTATAATTAATATTGACTACATAATTAAAAAATTTTATGCACTTAACAAAATATTTTGGGAAATTACTAATTAAAATTTTAATATTTTACACTCTACATGCAATCTTACAAGACTTATGAATAAACATTAAAATTTTTATTTAATAATACGATCTACTTCTTCTTACAAGAGGGTGCCTTTATTTAAAATAAAAAGTAGAGTAAAAAGCAAAGGAAAAGAAAAATTAAAAATATTTTGTTATTTAAAATAGGCGGAGTACATAGCCTAAAAATAAATTAATTAAAGAAAAAACAAACAGAAAAAATATAAAATAATTGGGTGGGGTTATAAAAGCTATAAATTTCTTTTGTGTGAATCTTTCGAAACAACAACAGAAATTTAATTCGTTTAAAAGTAATAAACTTAATTTTGTTTCTGAATACCCACTTTATACCAATACGAGAAAATAAAAAAATTTTAAATTATATTTTATTGTTTTTAATGTTCCAATTGGTTAGCGATGAAAAATAAATTTCATTTTAAATATTAAAATTTATATTAGGTATTTTTTAGAGTATATAGGCCGAAAATTTATTCGAACTAAAAAAAAAAATGAACGTGATTGTTTTCAAAATATTATAAAACTTGATTCATAAAATTTCAATAAAAATTTTTTAAATACTTTTTCTACAAAAAATTAAACTACAACAATATTTATTCATTGTTTAAAAAAAATTAAGAGGTTGAAAGAGAAAAAAAAAATATTTTATTTTTGGGGATTTATACAAAATTTAAGGAATGATCATAAAAAATGGATTAATTTATTTAAATGTTTTAAGATTTAAAAAATAAAATGGTGGCCGAAAAGAAAATATAATAATAAAAATTTTTAAATATCTTCATATCCGCAATTAAATAAAATTTTTGGGTATTAAAACCTACATATTTTATTAAATTAAAGTTAAAATTATTTTTGATTATATGATAAAAAATCATTAAAGTTCAGAAGATCACTATTTTTAATATGTACATTCAGAAGATAAAAATAAAAATTAATGTGAAATATTGCGTGAAATAGTTCTTTTATATAAAAATTCCTTTTAAAAGTTTTTGAATAATTTTCGACGTTATTTTAATAATAGTAGCTTGCCAATGTCAAAAAACAAAATTGATAAAAGGTGCCCATATCTTTGAAATTTAATTTAGTTATTAGAAACACAAATTATTCGCATTATTACTAGATAAACGTTCAACTTGTTGCATACTTAGTGTGAATAACAATTTAAGCGGTAAGCGGACAAAGGGGTTAACTTACATTTGCATATTATCACTTTTTTTTCATTAACAAATTGCAATAATATTTGTTTTTTTGTTACTTAACTCCTATTTGCGCTGTCAATCTTGTCTACTATTGAGTTTCTAGCTATAAGAGTAATCGCAATTGAAAATATATGAAATTTAATGATGTTCTGCCTGAGCAGTTCGATTTTCGTCAAAATGTTAGTTAACCCCTTTGCCCACTCTTCAATTATTTTCACTTCTGAAATTGAGTCGAATTCATAAACACTTTATTTTTCCCATTTTTTAAGGAAATACAATTTTTTTTTTATATATATGATAATAGCTTACTCGAACAGAAGTTACCGTTAATCGTTTCACCTTACTTAGATTAAGCTTTGAATTATAATTGGAAATATAAGGTTCTTTGTGTAGTTATTTTTTATCACATGATGATTCGCTTTTTTAAAAGTATTACGCCTTCTTTAATTAAATGCTTAAAACCGGCCTTTTCTTATTCGTTTAATACTTAAAATTTCAAAGTAATTTTCAAACTTCTGGCATTGTATTTTTTCAAAATTTGTAATGGATCTTATAATAATCTTATACTAAAAATTTAGTGAATTTGAGATCCGTTTGGTGAAACAAACAAATGGTGTTAAAAAATAAATCTGTAAAATATTAGTTAAAATATTGCTTTTCGTGATTTTAAATCAATTATTTTATTATCTACATTTTATATTTATAGAAAAACTAAAATACTTAAACTAATAAAAATTATTCATTTAATCATATTTAATATTATTAAAATAAGTTGTAAAATGTATGTTTCATAGGGTGTTAAAGTATTAATTTCTTAAGATCAAGTAGGTAAGTAGATATTCGGCTGTAAATGTTTATTTCCTGAAACGCAATGGCAATAATTTTGTTTAAAATATTCGAAATATTCATAAATGTTCTTAAAAAATCATTTTACATTTTGTATTGAAAATAAAATAAAGAAGTTTTCGTAACTTCATCAACTTTATTCAGAGTTTGTTTTGATGATATTTACATATTATATGAATATAAAATTAATTTTTGAATTAATTCATATCGCTTATTCATTTGAATTTAACTTTGAAATATAGTTTTCATACTATAATTAATTTAATTTTTCATTATATTTTCCAATATCAACTACCTACTTAAATACAATAAATGAAAACTTATATTAAAATCCCTACAATATTATATAAATGTATCTTAATCTTATACTTAATTAATTTATGATTTGAATGAACAAAATCCTTCTTGGATAAATATAACAAGTTATCAGACAATAATTTTTAGTCAATACTAGTAAATAATAAATACACCACTCGAAAATTTTTACGAAATTGTAAAATTTTCATAAAGTGTTTAAGTATTTCTTTCGTCCCTCTCTCGAAATTCAGAAGGGTCTGTAAATTTTACGGTAATTATGTAAAATATAGATGGAAACGGCACCAAAGCCAATAGTGCATAGTGTTGACGTAAAGATACTATTCCATAAGCTAAAATTAACCAATGCCCAACTAAAATATTAATAAGATTAAATAAAATATTTTTTAATAAAACGTTTTTAAAAATACCAATTATTACAGCATTTTTCATTTCCAATAATGAACTTTTTAATAATGATTTCATAGATTGATCAATTTTCATTGAATAATGGCAAGCATTTGATACCATTGAAATTACTATGCTCAAATATGGAAAAGCATAATCTGAAAAAATTGAATAATTTATTTTTTAAGTATTGTTAAATGTGATTAAATTCAAATTGTACAAATCAATCCACCCGCAACGGCATGTAAAAGCGTTAAAATTGGAAAAAAATAAAGAGCACAATAGACAGCAGATTTGCCGGCTTTTAAAAATTTCCTATTCAGCAAAGGTCTAACTAACATCATCAACAATAGGCATAATAAATAGAAAACAAGGACTATAGTTTGCCTGTAAAATATTTTTTATTAACAAATTTGTTATTTATACTTATAATCTACTTACAATGGATAAACAGCTTCTTGTGTACAGTGAAGTCTTTCTTTATAATCTGGAGCGGGATTGTGAAAAAGTGTATACCAATCAGAAAGTTTATACACACCACAAGAATATAAATTAAATGAAAATAGAGGCTCCATAACTAAAACTGATATAATAGCTGATAACACAACTTCTAAGAGCGCACTAACGTGCAAAAGAACTTGTTCTTTTGTAAAACTGAAAACGAAAAATTATTATTTATTCAAATAAAACAAACAGTATTCGAGCGACATACGATCTTTCTTTAGCTGCCATATCAATAAAAAACCAGTGCATTATCAAAGGTAAAAAGCTCATGAAGCCTAAAATTTACTACTTTTACTCTGTAATCGAAATACATAATGCAAATTTTACCTAAATATAACCAATCATAGGATGTTGGAGATTGAATACATTCTGTGCATTTACTATTTGAATCAGAATTATCGACTCTAAAACCTCGAGGACAAGCACCACAATCACTCCATGTTTGATTTTCAAAAAAGACTCTTCCGCAATATAATCCAGGACATTTACCCATGTTTGATTTCAAGAAAAAATTAAATATTTGTATTTAAAGCATTTTCTCTGATATAAACAAAACAATTGAAAATTTTATTCTTACTATATATAAATAAAAAACAGCTGATTGTCATTCAACATCAGTGCTGCCATACCTAGTTTCTTTCAGATAATTGATTTAACCCATAAAGTTTTTTGAATATTTTGGTGGATGAGTAGAACTTCGTTTTCCTGTGAAGTTTTTCATAATTTAATATTATGGCGACGTTAAAAAATAAAACATGAGTAAAATAAATTGAAGCCCAATCATATTTTGCAATAAATAAATAATATTATGCAGGTTGTGCTTAAAAATATTAACTTTAAAACTTACATGAAGATTTTGAAATTTACTTTTAGATATTGACAAAAATGTATCAATAATATTTATAACAAGCGGATCTCTTGACCAAGAATTTTAAATATTAACAGTGATTTATCATATATGAAAAAAATAAATTTCTCCAAACATTTCTCTTGTGTTCATATTTAATTGTGCAAACAGGCCTTAATTTAATGCAAAACTTTAAATGTGATTTTGACATTTGGGTTCAAAGAAATTGATAAGGAAAAATTTTCATTCATAACTTATTTTATTTCATTTGTTTTGTTTAGTGATTTTTAAAACTACAAATAATTATTTGGAAAATAATTTTAAAGCTTAATTCAATATGTTAAATACTTTCAAGTGTTGTTAAAGAAATATTTAAATTTTGGAAAATAATAGCATTTTTATGAAAAAACAAATTTGAAAAATTTAAATGCAATTTTGTGAGCTAAGTATTCAAGAAGTTCATCTTGGAGAATCAAAAATTAATTTAATGTATACCTAATAATCTTATACTTAGATTAAAATTTTTTAAAAATTTTTGGATATTCGTTATTAAATGTTTAATTACACATTAATATTCTAATCACACATTTGTACGTATGCGGATGGTAGCTATTTGCCGCTTCGATTCACTGCATTCATTTATTTTGTTTAATGACATTTTGTTTTGATTGTTTTTATCGTTTAATATGTGAAAATATAGAAAAGTACAGATATTTCAAAATATAGAAAGTCAATTTTTGGATTTACTTAAAACTTAACTGATTAAAAATGAAGTTGTACAAGTTGTACGTTCATCAAAAATCTTTTAGCTGTTAGTATAATATATTAATTTATTTTTATTAAGAACCAGTAAAAGCGGTTTTTTTTTTGTAGCGGCTGATTTGGTGATAAATCCGAAAGATTTACCAGAAGCAAAAATTGGAGATGTGGTTGAAGTATATCATCCTGAAGATGAAGGTTCCAGACTTCTTTTACAAATCACATTATTAAGTGACGAAGTAAAGAGTCGCGAGGAAACTATTAGTATTGAATCAACTGTTGCTCAAGCTTTTAATTTGAGAACCTTTTCTGATGTCATTATGAGAATTGTGAATCCATCAGCCGTGGCTTTGGATTCAGTTGAAATAACATTTAAAGATCAATATATGGGACGATCTGAAATGTGGCGCTTGAAAACATACTTGGTAATTTTACAATTTATTTAAAAGTTTTCATTAATTTATTTTTGTTCTATTTTTTAAAACAGACAAACACTTGTATATACATGAATAAAAAAGTGGAATTTTGTGATGGTTGTATACGATGTCAAATTTATGAAATGTGGTCCCAAGGAGAGCGTGTTACATGTGGAGTGATCAGCGAGGATACAAAAGTTGTGTTTCGCAGTAGTACATCAGGCGTTTATTTGTTTATTCAAATGTCTTCCGAAATGTGGGACTTTGACATTTATGGTGATTTATATTTTGAAAAAGCTGTTAATGGTTTTTTAAGTGATTTGTTTATGAAATGGAAAAAATTGGTATCAAATCATGAAGTTACAATTGTATTGTTCTCAAGAACATTTTATACAGCGAAAAGTTTAGAAGAATTTCCTGATCATATGAGAGACTGTCTTCAAAAAGATTATAAAGGAAGATTTTACGAAGATTTTTATCGTGTTGCAATACAAAACGAAAGAAATGATGATTGGAATACCGTTTTAGTACAGTTAAGGAAATTATTTACGTCGTATCAGGCAAGCGTACTGCGTTATCACGATAGAGAACATGTTTATGTCCCTCCAGCCATAAATTCAACTGCAGCCCAAGGAAATTTTTTAGAAGTTTTGAATATTTCATTAAATGCTTTTGAAAAACATTATTTAGACAGAAGTTTTGACAGAACTGGTCAATTATCTGTTGTTATAAGCCCTGGCGTAGGAGTATTTGAAGTGGATAGAGAATTAACGAACATAACAAAGCAAAGAGTTTGTTACATTTAATTCATTTTGACTTTAAAAATTTTTAATTCATTTATTTAGGTGATTGATAACGGTGTTGGAAGTGACTTAGTTTGTGTAGGAGAGCAACCATTACATGCAGTTCCTTTGTTAAAGTTTCATAATAAAGAAACAAACTTAGCTGCTGATGACTATTCTTTACCACATTGGATAAATTTAAGTTTTTATTCTACAAATAAGAAGGTAGCCTACTCCACATTTATTCCCCGCATCAAACTTCCTCCATTGGTTCCTACAAACGATAATGAAAATGACAAGGTGAGCTTATTAGATACGTAATCAAAGAAAAAATTATTAATGAAATTTATTTTAAGGAAAATTCAAAAATCAAATTTTTAAGTTGCAATCAATCAGATTACATTCACAATTCCCTATTTGATTATGATGCATATGATGCTCAGATATTTCAATTACCACCAGCTCAAGGCACTTGGTACGTACTTATATTTATTTTTTTAAACGTTTGTAAAATGTGTTTTTTTAGTTCGCTACAGAGAGTAATCCGAGCTAAAAAAACATCGGTTCCAAGTTTAGAAACTACTTCCTCACATGATTGGGATATTTCTACAACACCTAAATTTTCTGCTTTACGTAGAAAAATGTCAGATCCAGATATTCATTTTGGTGTTTCTGGAGTATTATCAACATTAGTAGATTCAACAAATTTATCAGAATCTTTAATATCAGAAAAAAATGTTCGTAGAACTATTATAGCTAGTAAAAACCCCATTATAAGACCAGGACGTGCCTTAATTAATCCTTTTGATCCATCACATGTTACTATTAAATTAACATCAAATCGAAGGAGGTGGACTCATATATTTCCAAAAGTATTATAATTTTTAAGAAATTTTTGAATATAGTAATTCTTTAATTTAAAATCGCAGGGACCTACCGGAGTTTTAATACAACAGCATCATTATCAAGCTATTCCAGCAGCTAATAATTATCAACAAATTTCCGATTCAAAATCATTTAGCTCTGGATTCAATTCTTCTGAATATGAGCACACTGCAACATGTTTTTCGAATTGTTCCGATGATATATTGAACGATTGTGAGTTTTTTTTTTTTAAATTCAAGTTAATTTTAATTTCTTTTTTATTAACAGTTTAGCATCAATTTAACTTTAATATGTTATATAAATTTATATTTTTTTTATCAAGCTTCCCGAAGAAAAATGAATATTTTGAACACGAGTGCAACTCTTCCTCAAACAAATTCAGTTTCATCAAAAGCTTTAACATATCTTTGGGGAGCTACCGGTGAACAAGAATGGACTCCAGCTCTTACGACTGGTAATTTTAATGCAAAATTTTAAAATTATTAATGAAAGCATTTTATGTATTTACTTTTCTCATGTAAATAATTATGTATTTCCATTTACATTTCATGTTTGACAATATAAATATCATAATGAAATTAAAAATTTTCTGTTCAAAATTCGAAATACATACACATCTTGGATGTTTTAAAGTACTCAGCCAAAAGCGTAATAAAAAAATTTCTCAAGAAGAATCTAAAAAATTGGAGCCTTCAAAAACTAAAGGAGAAGTAATTATAGGTTGGATCAAAAATTTTTTAAGAATTTTAAGAATTCTGACTTAATTAAGAGCAAGCATAAAAGCCAATCTTTTTCACGTTAATTTATTATTTTCCAATTTTACCTAAAAATGCACATACTTATTTTATTATATAAAATTTTGATTAAAGTTTATTATATAGTTATTCTTTTAATTTAGATTATATCATATTCTATCTTAATTTTCTTGTAGAAGTACTTTTATAGAATTTTTTTTTTTAAATACGAAGAAATTTTAGCTTGGGTACAGTTTTAAAAACATTTCTGTTTAATTTTTGTGACTAATAGTTAACTGAGTTATTAATTATTCTTTAAAAAACACAGTTCGATGCGATAATTCGACAAGACCGATTAAATTATTTAAGAAGCAAAAGAATTATTTTATTAAATTTACAAAATTCAAACGAAAATCAATGTTAAATTATCTTTATTTTTGAATGATTTACTAATGCAACTTATATTAATGCAACTTATAACTTATTGTCCACGTTTACCATGATGTATGTACATATATAGATTTAAAATTTTTTGAATTAGATATTTGTTACAACATTTTAATTCCAAAGACATAGTTTAATTATATAAAATTTCATAATTATTATGAAAATGGAAACAATAATATTATTCAAATAAATATGGTAATTATGCAACTATCGGCAAGATGAAAATAGTTTTCAACGGCACTGTAATATTTAAATTGATTTTAATTATAAAATCTACATTGCCACATTGTTTCTTTATTAATCAGGCGAACTAAAAAAAAAAATAATTTCATAAATTATTCAACGTTTTGTTTAGTTATTTTCTGAAATTTTCAAAATTAAAATTCTAGAACATTTCATATTTTTCATATTTTTCGATTTCTTTGCTGTTTAATTATTTGTAAAGTTCTTGTAAATAATTTCCTAAATTAAGGATCTTAGAAACTCATAACTGGTAAAAAATTTTATTTTGTATGGTACGAATGCTCGATTTCTTCTTGTTATTATAGGTTGGTGTCGTTATTTTTTCATGTATCATTATTATTTTTTTTTTTAAATAATATTGTGAGGTGTTAGTATTGCATGAACATTTTTTCTGTAAACTTTATCTGCCTTATTTATAATTTGAATTTTATATTATTTTTACAATAAAAATACTGAAATAATATTTGAAATAGTTGTGCTAAAATTGTTTTTTTTTTTTTTTATTTAAAATTTTGGTAGGAGTTGATTGGAAATCTTTAACAATACCAGCTTGTTTACCAATCACAACCGATTATTTTCCTGATAAACGATCTTTGGATAATGATTATGTTATATCAGATTATACACTTTTACCAGATGATGTTAATGCTGATTTTGCAAATTGTCGGGCAGTTTATCGAAAACCACTTACAACTGAAGAAGTTTTTAAAGAAATTGTTTCACAACGTTTAGCACAAGGTTTTCAATTGATTGTTTTAGAAGATAATAAAAATACTAGTCCACCACAAGCTCCGTGTTGTGGTGGAAAAAAACAAGTGCCGACATCAGTATTGAAAATAAAACCACCTACAGAAAAAACAATGGAATATTTGCTATCAATTGGAAGAATTTTTCATAAAATATCTTTAAGTGGCTCAGTAATTACAGTAACTGGTTATAGACCAAGGTAAATTTATTTTTATAGATATATAATATATTTTTTTTTGTTAAATGATAATGTAAAATTCGTTTTAATTTTAGACATCCGTATCCGCCAATTAAAGTCGACTACCGTTATCGATTCCATGCCCCGCAACATGATACATATGAAATATCTGGAGCTAATTTTACAACAGAAAAATTAGAAAATTTTAATTGGAATTTTATGGATCATTACATATGTACCCGGGGAGACACTGATTATCCATTATTTGATGTAAATATTAATAGGAATATAATTAGAATATATTAGTTTTGAAAATTAATTTTATTCTATTAAAATAATTAATTTGAAGTTATAATGTAGATTCTTTTTCTTGTAGGCACTTAAATATTGGCGTTATAGAATGTATTTGTTACCAAAAGAACATTTGGCAATGAAAAAAATATTAGAAGGTGGTTCACAAAGATGTGATATTTATACAGAAATTTCAAATGAAGATCCAAAACAACAGATTGAGGAATTCATAAAATTTTTAGAAACTCATTTAAATAAATTAAAAAGAGTACAATGTCGTAAAACAAGAGTAAGATTACAAAATATTATAAAAATATTGTGCAGATTTTAGTTTTCTTTTTTTTTTTAACAAAACAAAAGACGAAAAATTTTGTACTTTAATTATTTAAAATCAACAGTTGATATTTTATTATTTCAATTGGAATAGCACTTAAATCATTTAAGATATAAAATTTTCACTTGTTTTTTGGTAAAATTGAATATGAGTAAATTTAAGGGATAGAAATTTTAATATTAAAATTAGCAAATTCAATTGCTTTTATTGTAAATTTCTTATATCTTAAACTAGATTTTGAAGTGCACTTTATTCCATTTAACAGGTTCAAAAGTGTTTGGCTTATAAAATATTAACAAAGTTTTTTCGTGGTTTGTGGCTGCGCGATTCGTTTTAAAATTGTTTGTTTAATTTTGATTTAGTAATTTTCAAAGAATATTAAATATTCTTAGCGTTTTTTTTTTTTTTTTTTGAAAATTTTTTACGTTTTTTAAAATTATACTTACGTATTTGGTTTTTAAAATTTTTCTTTATTTTGTAGAGTGCTTTTTTTTTTGTTTCTGCTTCTCTTTGATTTTTTTTTGTGTATCTTTCCTATTATGAAGTCTAATTACAGGAAAGTTCGTCAACACAATCGCATCTAACTAGAAGAAGGCACAGTACTAGCATTATTACGAGAGCTCCGCCAAATCAGGTTGAATAATTACTTTAATATTAATTAAATAATTTGTAAAATATTTAAGATTAAAACTAAAGGCGATTACTTATTTCTAAACGCTTTTTTGTTGAATCGTTTTCTCATCTAACTCATTTGAAGCTTCTTTTTAACTTACAAAAATTATTTAATGAAAAAAAAAATTGAAAAAAAAAAATGAAAAAATTTTTTATTAATTTTCAAAAATTTTTGTCCATCATTTAGGGATTAGCAAATTCACCATTTCGTGAGCGAGTCGGAAGCAATCGTTTACCAGATAGAAGGCCAAGGTTTTTATAATAATACGAATTTTTTTTGAATAAATTGCAAAATTAGTTAATAATGGACACAAATTCATTTTTAAATTTTCTAAAAGCGAATTAAGCTTTAAGCTTATGCAATTTGCTCTGGTTTTTTTTTAATTGTTTTCTACTTAATTTTCATTTTTTAAATTAATCAGTCATCATTTCAATAAAACTTTTTTACGTTTTTTATTTAAATTTCATCTTTAAAATTATGTATATTTCTTTTATATATTTTTAAAATTCATTCATAAATTGTTTTAATTAATGATAGTTCCTGTGTAGCTTTATAATTTATTTTAATTAATTGAATTTTATTCTGTAATATTTTCTTTAAGAGATTTTTTTTTTTTATTATTTCATAAAAGTAAATTTTTTGAAAAAATATTTTGCATGTGACTACATACTTATTTATAATGAATATTGTATTTTTTTTATATTATTGAGGTGATGGAAATAAGTAATTTAATTACTTAATTTACTTACCTAAAAATTGTATATCAAATTTCGTTTTTAATCTTGCCTCCAAATAATAATTTTCGAATTATTTATTCATTCATTATATTTTATTGAGTATTTATAATACAAGTGAAGTGAATTTGAATTTTGTATATTAATTTTAAATTTACTACAAACAAAAAATTCAGAACAATCTTTTATAATTTCAGAAATTATTGTCAAATAGGATTAAAGCATTAAGGGCAAATGATTTGCTTCATCATCATTTACGAAATTCGAAAATTTCGTTTTCATTTTTCCATTAATCAAATCAAATTCCATTATGTATTTACCAAAATGTTTCATTGGACATTTCTTACATTTCATTATTTATTATTTTTACAATTTGGAAAAAAAAAATCAATATTGCTGATGTTTTCATGATAAAGGAATACATACATATGTACATTCATATGTTTAAGTTGAAATAAAATTTTTATATTTTGTCATCGGTTTTATGTACCAATATTATTTAATTTTAAAATAAGTAACCTGCTTTTCATATTTTTAATCAATTTTTATTCATTTTAGGTGTAATCGATAATATTAAATGCCTGTCAACAATAAATTCATTGGACGTTTATCAAGCGGCAATCAAAAATTTATGCTAAAAAAATTTTTTTTTTTCATGTCAATTTTCGCACACTACTTTTGTTTACATTGACAAACAATTGACAACTTCTATTTATTGTAACAAATTATTTTTGATAATTTGACATTTTACTTAAATGTTATTTTTGTATATAAAATTAATTTATTCTCTTCAAAATGTTCCATTTTTTGCATAAAGAACACAAAAAATTAAAATTTGAAATATTTTCATGCCAATATATATTAAGAAATATGACAGGCTATTGCTGTCTTTTTTGACAATTGACAATTGGCAATTTTGCATTATCGGTTACACTGCAAAATATGTTGACATCTGTTGACAACATTAAAAGTTACAATGTTTTCGTTAACTGCGATTGAGATGCAAAAGAATTTAACACTCATTTTACATTATCGATTACACCTTTTAATTGAATTAAAATTTTTAATTAAAGATGACACACTTCTGAAAAGCTCCAATTTTTTTTTAAATTTCTTGGTATTTTTCGAAAATTTAGTTAAATAAAATTAGGTTTTTCTCTTTTCTGGTTAAGTAAGGATTTTGCACGTTACTACCATTTTTTTTTGTTTATTTTTTTTTTTTTTTTTTGTTTTTTGGTTGGAGAATGAAATTCTAACAATTTTTTGAAAAATATTAATAATTTTCTGTTTTCATACTTTCATGATTTTATTTTTTTTTTTTTTAATTTTTCTTTTGGTTTTCAGCAACTTTCATCTCTTAGAATACTAAGTGAGAAATCTTTATATTCGCAAAGGTTAGTGCTATTACTAGAGCTAATGTTGCAATAAAAAAAAAATAATGAATGAAACTCTTACGCATCTTTTGCTAATAATGAAAAAACTTATTTTTTAATTTTATTCAAGCATAAAATATTTGTTAGTAATAATTTTTTTATGGTTTTTGGTACTAATAGAGTAAAATAATAATTTCCAACTGTGTAAAATTTCATTTCATCTTTTTTAATAATTTCATTACAAAATTTAATTTGATTTACATATCATGTACATAGTATAATTTATTTTAGAAGAAGTTAGGACATAGAATCAAATATATTATACAACTACACTAAATTAAAAATCTAAAATTAGTGAGAATAAGTTTTCCATATAATAGAATTTGATTATATTTGATTCTACTGAATAGATATAATATAAATAAAAGGTTATTAATAATTTAATTTTATTTTTTTTTACAAAAATTTTAGTATTTTAACAAGAGCTGGTTCAAAACCATTAGAACGTGGTAGAATATCACCAGCAGCTGAAGCATCTACAATAACATTAACATCTGAAATGACAAATTCAAATGAAGATAATGATGATGCGTTAGTATCAAGCTTGATTTCATTTACGGAATACAATATAAAAATTGACAATTTTTTTTTTAGATTCTTTATGGAAAGTAAATTAAAATCAACAGCAACATTAACAGAAATATTTGAAGCATTCAAACATCCAATTAGTGGTGTTGGATTTTTAATGTCGGTACCAAGTTTACCATCTGGAACATTTGTGTCACTAGATGCTGTTAATTGGTTAAAAAATAAAATAGAAGGAAATTTAAGGGATCCATTAGATATATTAGAGAATATGAGAAAGTATGTTTTGAAATGCTAACAAAGGCGACGAAGAACTTTATTTTTCTTTAATTATTAGTTTTAACAATTAATTTCTAATTTATAAACTTAAATTTGTAGGGAAAGAATGATTTGTCATGCATCTGGAAATTGGGAAAAACCTATAATTGTAGGATTCTACCTATACTATGTTGTTATTCAAGATAAAACTTCAAAAGGTAAAAATATTCTGATTTTATTGTAATAGATTTTTATAATTAACAAAATTTCCCTGTTTTTTTTGTTTTAGATTATACTCCACCACTGGGAGATTTAAATGCATTCGAAAATGAATGGATGGAAGTTGAAGTAAAAGGTTATGATTGTGGAGAAACAGTAAAATCATCGATTCCAAATTTTCTTAAAGATAAACCGGCATCAAAAAATTGGAGCAAAGATAGTATGCAACACATTTTAAAAAAAAATTATGAAAATTGCTTTGTCTGATTTCTTTTACAAATTCATTTCTTCTTACAGGAAATTCCATTGTTTATAAGCATTCTCATTTAGAAATAGATTCTACTAAAAAAAGTGATAGAATCGAATGGGGTCATGTTAAATATCATAGTATTATGATGCCTGGAAATGCTTTTGAGATTGTTGTACAATGGGTTACAGCTTCCGGTCCGATAGTTAATGATTTGGTAAATATTTTAGACGATGTTGTTTTTTTTTACATATACTATAGATTATTTATTATTTAGATATCAGGGTGGACACGTAAGGCACCAATGTGTGGCTTTCAGTTGGTCCCTATACCAGCAGATCCTTTAGCTGAACCATTTACAGAAAAATCTGATCCACTTAGAGGACCAATTTTTATTCCCTTGAATACCGATTGTTTAAAACAAAGAGATTATCTTTTTGAAGGTATTTATTTACATTAAATTATTTTAGTTAAATAAATGATTCTGTGTTTTAGAATTTAATGAGGAAACACGCTCTGAAAGGATGTTACTGTTCCAGGAGGCAATATTAGCGAGATTTGGTTTTATGCCTTGCGTTTTGCAAAATAAATCTGGTTTTCAAAAAGATGTAAGAAAGAACAAAATTTTTATTTAATGGAATTAATTTAAAATTAACTAAAATTAATTTTATGTGATTCTAGATACCTAAAGAATATCAGTATGTTCATTGTTCTGGTAATATGTTTGTTTTAATAAGGTAAAGCCATACATTTAAGTTTTTCGTAAAAAGTGTATAATTGTCGATACTTTTTTTTAAGATGTTTGACATCAAATAACGTACCAACAGAATTTCCAAATAATTCTCAAGAGTCATACGTTACACGTTTAGTTTATGGCCACACTTACAATACAAATATACCTAAGAAAGTTGGATTTTTGTGGTCTTGGAATCATATGATTGCTAATAAAAAGTGGAAATCTTTAATAATCAACTGCTCACAAGAAGGAGAATTATTTCAACTACGAATGTTGAAAGATTTTAAAGAATTCTGTTCAAATCAAGATCAAAGACTTAAAAATTTTTGGGATAAATGTTGGGATATGAGAAAAAATTCTGTAATAATTGAAAACGACGAAGAAACTAACTAACTAGATTTTTTTTATAAAAATATTTTCATTTATATAATTTTTTATTCAAATTTTTTAGATAATAAGAATATAGTTATTTGTTAAAGAATAAAATGATTTTTTATAAAATTTATTTAAACATGTTATTATTTTTAGAATTAACAATTACTTTACTAAAAGTTTATTAAATTTTATATCGGATCTTAAAGTTTTTATTGTTACATAAATTAAAATTGTACAAATGCTAAAAGCCATAAGACCACAATTGAATAAGTTTATTTTTGACAAAAGTTTTTTAAATCGACCTGCATATCGTTTTAATGGTCTTGCCTTTTGTATTTGATCTAGATCCTTCCAAGACACATTTTGTGGTCGAATAATTAACAATGCATTGATTGCTGCTCTGTAACCACTTTGTATTGCACCACTAACGCAACCTCTGTATGCAGTTGCTGCAGTTGTAGAAGAAAATATTATTCGATTCCATGGTGTTGTTGGAGGCAGATTTAATAATAAATTTTGTTCATAAGTTATTTTGTTTAAAATTTTAAATGAAATGATTTTATTGGAAAAATTTTCATATAATTTTCGCAATATTAAATAATCAAGGATTGGTTCGATTTCAAAATGATTATGTAAAACTATTGCAACTAATTTATTCATTTTACATTCACGAAATATTAAAATTGGTTTCTCTAAACTTAGAAAACTTCCACACAAATTATCTTTCTGAAGAAGTTCAATATCATTGTGTTCAATTAAATAGAAAGTTATAAAATATTTTAGATGAGAATTAGTAGTTGAAAGCTCTTTAGGGATAGATGGGAATATGTTTATATCTTTGAGATGATTCCAAGGTATCGCCAATATCAATACGGATGTATTAAAAATTTTTCCATCAGAATCTTTGACAAGTACATAATCAGGATAATGATAAATATCTGTTACTTTTACGTTCGTTAAAATTTGTGTATTATTTAAGAGATATTTGAATTTTTCAATTAATTTTTCTGATGAAAATCCGATAAGTGCTTTAATTGATAATCCAGATTTTATATGTCTAAAAACAAAATTAAGCTTTCAACTTCTACCGAATATATTTGTAATTATATAATATTCGTGTATAACTTACAAATCTAGTATATTTTGGATTCCTCCTGCCGAATTGCATATGCTTAAAAATTCTGTCAATTTTATATTTTTTGATTCATTTCCACAAACTATTCTAACAAGAATACGAAGAATTTTCTTTGAATAATCAAACACTAAATTGCTTGAAATAAAATTTTCAACTGTTGGATCGCTTTTGAAAATTTTGAAACTAAAAATTATTTTTAAAAATTATGAAATTCAAAACAATTAAATTAAGATAAAATTTAGAGAAAATATATACTTTCCAGGATCATAATTTGTGCTCAAGAGATCAATACGATTGAGTAACAAATATATTTCAAAATTAATTAACTTTGATTTTATCCAATGCTCGTTTTTTAAAACATTTTTTGTGATGTTCTTAATGGAACACTGCTTTTCTTCTAAAAACTTAATATCAATATTGAATTTTTTTAATAAGTCAAGAATATGGTAATGGTCTTCTGAAATGTATAGGTCTCCAAATTCATTAAAATTTTCTGAACTTATTTGTCCACCCAGTCTAGAAGTAGCTTCTAAAATCACCACATTCAAATTCTTGTCTTTTTCTTTAATTTTATAAGCTGATGTTAAACCAGAAAGCCCACCACCAATTATTAAAATATCGATAAAATCATTTGAATCCAATTCCATGAAAGAAAAATTAGTATGAGGTTTTGTTTTCATTGAAATCATTGAAAGTAATTTGTTTTTTTATAATTAGTCAATTTGACAAAATATTTAAATAAATTATTTTAAAAAATAACATTGAAAGTATTTCAAAATTGTGATTTGTTTTTGTCGAGTTTACTAGATATTTTATATGCACTGTTTACTAGATATTTTATATGAATTGCAAGTCTCGCAAGACTGAGTCACCTTCCTAAGTAACATACTGGAATTGGACAAAAATTTTAGGTTATTTAAAGATCTACATATGTATACTGCTTTTACCTTGTTAAATGCAATAGTATTGGAATTACGAGTATAAACGACAATGTTTCTTATCATTACAACTTGATTAAGAAAAAACGAGGAAAACAGTAGAGAATGACTGAAGGTGTTTTGGTACTATTCAACAAAATCGCATTGCAAAAAATTGAAATTGACAGCATTTTCTATAAATTTTTTGTGTTTGACATTTCATTTGAATTTCTAATTGATCATTAAAATTAATTTGGATTATTGCAGAATTTAACAGAAAAGGATAATCCATAAGTGAAATAAAATGGAATTACAGGAAAAGATGCGTAATTTTTATAATGCGTAAAGTTTTATTTAAAAAAAAATATAAAAAAATTTTGAATAACAAAAAACTTATATTACAAAGTTAATCTGCTTTGTTTATACTGCACAATTAAAAGCCGTGAATTGGCAAGTTGTTTACACTACTTCTCAACTTTTCCTCTACACTCAACAGTATAGTATGTTAATACCTTTCTGCTAAGTTTTTATGGTTTTACGTGAATTCTACCATTATCGTGAAATAAGACTGGTTTTGTATTTTGTTTCGACCTAAATCGACTACAATAATTTGACATGCATTTATATTGCTTTATTATATTTTTCCAAAAACTTAGGATTTCAAAACAAGATTTCTAAACAAAATCGCACTTTCGCAAATGCAAGCCTGCGATATTCGATTTATATAGTGCCAACATTTTAGATGCGAAAATCGGTTAGCAAAAGTAGCACGCAAAAGTAGCAGTAGACCACGAGTGTCACATGAGGAATTTTGTTGACCTATATAAGTGATAATTAATATATGGAGAAAAGGTCCTGAAAATATTTTCAAATAATTTTTCTAAATAAAATTCATACCAGTTAATTAATTTAAAATTATTTTATTTATAAAATTCGTTTACGAAATATTTAAATAATAACGCGTAATAGGTATAATGAAATAATTTTAATCTTTTTTTGTTTTTTCGGTAAATTTCATATACAATTTAAATTTTCTTCTCCTTTTTACTATTTTATTGAATTTATTTAAATATTAAAACTATTGTATTGTTTTCAATGTATTTCAATTGATTCAAAATATTAAAAATACATTTTAATGGATTAAGATAATTTTATAAAAAAAAAAAAAAAAATTAATAATTATTTTTTAAAATTAAAATTTTTATAAACACTTTTTTTGTTTTTTTACATTAAATCACTTTTATCAGTTTTATTATTTATCAATAATTATTTTATAAAACTAATGACTTAAATATTTAAATGACAAGTTTTCATTTTTTTTTTTTTTCTTTACATTAAATTTAGGTCAATTGGATGAAATTTTGTAAGATGGTCATAAGTGCCATGGTTTGTATACGGTCACCGAATTAAAAATATTTTACGGACTACATATTTCAATCGGGCTAACTTCGGTATAATTCGTTTGTTATTTGCTACACGGTGACCTTATACTAACTCGGACGGTATTATATAAAATTAATTTAGGAAAAGTTAAAAATTTTCAATATAATTTATTTTTATTATACAGCTAATCAAAATCAATGCATTTTTATAGACAATATTTTGTAAGACAAGATAAAACAGCAAATAAAATAAATGTTAAGTGGTAAAATAATGCTAAAATAAACACAAAGAAAATAACAATGTTATACAAAAGAAAGGAATTTGTTATATTAAAGAGTAATATTATTCAGAAATTTTATATTAATATAATTTGTTTATTTATTTTATGTATAAATCGAATTTTGAATTACAACTGGCTTGAATATTTTATTATTAAAATTTTATTGATGAAAAAAAAATTTAATAAAAGTAGTTGATTAAGTTGAATTATAACTCTGTATAGCTCATGAATTTATAATTCGTGCATACATAATTTTTTTTAATTATTACAAAATTTTATGATTAAAAGATCCTAAACAAAAGTTGATTTCATCCAATTATATCTTATAATCGAAACATCATCAGGAAACATTACATTGAACGATTTTAATATAAATCAATGTAAAAATATGGCCGTGTTCCAGTATATCAAAGATTTGACAATTATATGTTAATCATATCATTCGTTTAATATTGTAAATGAGAATTATTTGCAATTAAGCAATTTTCGAAAATGGCATTTTAAAAATTATTTTAATAAAATGGAAAATTTAAAATTTCAAAATTAAAATATTTTCTTTGTCATTCATTTTGTCACATAATATAAAAATTACTTGTGCATCAATCTTTAAAGAATATTTTAATACAAAAAATAAATTAAAATAATAATCAGTTGTGTTGGCAATTCATGACTAACGTCAAAAATCAGTTTCACGCATTTGATTTGATATATGTACTGGAAAATGGCCATATTTGACATTAGAAATATTTATATGTCCAATATCATCATCCGATGGCTTTTTCGTTATAGGAATAGACAATATCATTGTGTATATAATACAAGTGTTATACAGAAGACCATTTTTTTAAACTAAAGAACTTAATACGCACTAGCTCTCTTCAAATAAATAGTTCTATTTTGTAATTACAAAAATTGTCTTCTGTATATCACTATAAACTATACATACACAATGATAATATTGTTATACTATTTATATAATAATATGTAATAAAATATATATATTTTTTTTTACAAAATTTACAGAATTTTTAAATAAGATTTATTTTTCTATCTATTTTAAAAACATATTAATTAATTTAAATGCTGTTTTTAATAAATTATATATTATCATATATATTATTTATTATATACATATACATATAATTATTTAATTAATAATAAAATTATTTTTTTATTATATTAAAAATGCCTAAGAGAGTTTTTATTTTTCTTTTTAATTATAAATTTAATATTACAGAAATAGTAAACAATTTGAGAGAATACTCATATATATACATAATTCAATTATTTTTTTTCAAACTTTTATTCAACATTCTTATTTTTAATATACATTTTTATTAATAATATATTTAATCAAAACATACACTCTGAATATATCTACATAATATATAATTTATTATAAACTATAATTTTATTACTATATTTATATTAAAAACTATTATACTACGCCTTGTGATTCGTAATGATGGCATGCTCAAAAGAATATTTTAATCACATGAAAATTTATTTTTATTATTCTTATATATAATAAATGGCGTATTTTTCTATTATTTTTTTCTATTATATTTTAATTAATTAATCTTTTGTGAAATTTTATTAATTTGAATATATTGTATAATATTTTTAGATATTTTTTGGATAAAGTATTTTTTGTTATTAAATTTTTAATTTAATTTTTTTAAAGAAATGGTAGCATTTTTAATAATATAAAAATATAAATTAAATAAGAGTTTGTTTTATATAAAAATGCAAAATAATAAAATGGCAGCAATTTTAAGTTTAATTTTTTGTTTTAATTTCTAATATAAGGGATTTTTTAATTTATTTAATGTGCAAAAAAGTAAAATTTGATGACGCTCGAACTACTCGAACTTTAAATAATCGAAATTTAATTAATTGGTAAAAAGTTTAATAAGAAATTAGTACGATGACGTAAATAATCCAATATTTTTGTGAATTTTTAATAATAAAAACGAAATCCTATATAATTTTTTAATTAATATTATGAATAATATTAGAATTAATTTGATTATATTGGAAATAGTAAATGGGTTTAATAATAAGAAAATATTGAGCCATATTGCACCAACCATACTTTTACTTTTGCGTTTTAATTTCTTAAAAAAGTATTGTTTATTAGTACGTATGGCTCAACATTAATTCGATCTCGGGACCAGTAAAATTTTGCAAAAGGTTGGTGCTATATGGAACTTGATCAGTATTAATTTATGAATTGTTCAAATTCTAATATATTCTTGAACTTTTTTGTAATGATTTTTGAAATTAAAGCAATTTAATTTGAAAAAGAATTACAACCGTAAGAAATATTATTCAATTTTAATAATCAAAAAATAATTAAACATTATTAACTAAGTTTATTCAAATTTTACTCAATTTGCACTTCCAATAAAAAATAATATGGTTTTAAGAATTTATATAAAAAAGATTTTCTAATAATATTCCTAATTGCATAATACATACACATATTGTATTACAATTAAAAACAAATTTACACTTACATACTCACATAAAAATAATTGTTTTTTATGGCTAATTTTTTTTTTTCTAATTACATATAAAAACTATAAATAATTATATAAAAATAGTAATTAAAATTTTCTAAATAAATTTATTAACAATTTTAAAATTAAATTCAAAAAAAAAAATTGAAATAAAAATAAAAAATAATTACAATATCAATGAACAAACTTAAAATGAAGATAAAAGAACTAAATATTAAAAAAAAAAAATAAATGTAAAAATTAAAATAAAAAAACAAAGAGCAAAAAAAAAATATCTAAAGCTCAGTTGTTGTTTCGACTTCAGATCGATCTAAATCATTTAAATATGAAAATCCTAATTGGGCATAATCACGTTTTCCAAAGCTTACATTTTCATTTGTTGCACTTATATGATTTGCGTCATTTATCCTAAAATCAAATAAAATTATATTAAATGAAATTTAATCTGAATAAATATTTAAAAGTAATTTAAATAGATTTTTGTTATACCTCTGAAATAATGGATTTGTAATTGGAGCATCTTTATACCGATTATTATAATTATTTCTATCTAATGTATTTGTCATCAATTCATTTTGATGAAATGTTGAATTATTATTTCTACCATTATTATTGCCACCACGTGTCAATGTACTATAAGCATTATCTTTATTATTTTGTAAATTTTGCATATTATTACGACTTAGTGTATCCATTTTATAGCCGCCATTTTGATAAATATTATTTGAGTTTTGTTTAATTCTTCCTAATGTTAATGTTCCTGGTAAATTTGCTCCATTACCCGATGCAAGAGGATTTGCATTATTTCGATTCATTTCTAATGTACGATTAAATGTATTTTGGCGATTATTACTTAAATTATTATTAATATTCATATTATTATTATTGCGTCTTAATGTTGCTGTTGTTGCAGTTGTTGCTTCAGAATTAGCTGGACTCGATTGTCCATTATTATCTTTATGTGTTATATAACTAACATTATCTAAACTGAATGCATGATTTTTTGTACCAAAATCTAATTGCATTTCATCATCACCATCTGGTGGTACTGCCATATTTAATACTTGTGTTTCATATTCTTTTAAATTTGTTATAGTATCACCATTTTGTGATCCAAGTATAACTGGATCATATCGTGTTGGACTTGATGGAGCAGAATATTGACGCATTCGTTGTTTAAAATTTTTGTACCTAAAAATATATTATAAAAAAATTAAATCATAAAATATTTTACAGTATGGTTAATTTAAACTTTTAAATTAATTTTATTTACTTAGCCCATGATATACAAATATAAATTATTCCAATAGTTCCAAGAACAAGAATGACAATAGATAATCCAATCAAAGCGTAAGGAAAAACGTCGTCACTAATAAGAATTGCTGTTGTAACCTAGTGTGTAGAAAAAATTATGTATATTATGCGAAACTTATTCAATTTCAAATAAAAGTACTATTTGAACACAATTTAAACAACAACTTACTTTCTGTACATGGTGCTTTGGTTCAAGTGGAGAAAATATACCTTGAGCAGTAGCTCTTGCTATACCAGATGCAGCAAAATTTATTTCAGACTGAGCAGCTGGTTCTAATAAATTCGAACTAACTTCAGTGTCGTTTCGTGTTAAAATCATTTCGTTATCTGGGTGAATTGCATAAAACCAAACATCAGTTGCGGATGGATTTTCAACAACAGTTGCATTTTCATTTAAAAATTTGCGATTACTAAACTTTTCAATGCCAGCGATTAATCCATTAGTTTTTTCTTCAATTAATTCTTCCAATTCAATATGATGAGAACGAATTTCATTCGGTGATGAATCGGAGAATACTAAAGACATTCTGTTTAAATCGGTGATTAAATTGACTACGATTCGTGCTCTTGCCACATGTGAGCCTTCTTCTATGCCATTGTTGTCGCGAGCCTCAACATTAAATTTCATTGGAAAACTTTTTATGTCATGAAGACTACGTTGTGTTCTTAAGATACCGGTATCTTCTGTCATTGCAAAATATTTTGTTGGCTACAAAAAAAAAAAAAAATTTTAAATATTATTTAACTTTATGTTTTATATTTGTTTACCAATATTTCGTTTTCAATGCTATTTTCATCCTCATCATAAATTTTGTACTTGATCATACCAAATTTTCCAGAATCTTTGTCTATAGCTTTAACTTGTAGAATGGATGTATCAATATCTACATCTGGATTTACTATAGCATAAAAAGTGTTTTTATGTTTGTGCTGTCTTGCAAATACAAATTCTGGTGCGTTATCGTTCTCGTCTTGCACAATAACTTTAACCTTAGTGACACTCTTTTGAGGATTCACAAAATATTTCCCGGAAATAAGCTTTATTTCTAAATCATGATGAGTTTGAGTTTCATAGTCTAAATTTTTGTTCAAAATTACTCCACAAGCATGATCTTCGGCAGTTAAAGAAAATATATTATTCTCGTTACCACCAATAAATTCACATTTAAAGCCGGCTCCATTTCTAGTAGTTTTCTTTGAATTAATTATTTGAATTAGTTTGATTGTAGCATTTAAGCCGGTTGTTTCTGGAACACCTGTTGTATAGCTATCATCACTGAAGGCTAGTCCCAAAGTTTCTGGATTCATTATAACCCCACCATCCATTTTTGCTTGCATTCTTTCATCGTCATTCGGATCTATAATCATATGTCGAACGAAAACTGGTAATGTGGCAACAGAACTTAATTGAGGTTCGCCCATATCATAGGCTCTAATATCAATTTGATATTCTGTATCATCTTCTTTTCTCAATTCATCTCTTACCCTTATTGAGCCTGTGTCGGCGTCTACTTGAAAGTATTTTAAAGCTTTTCCGCGTCCAACCATTTCATAACGTACCACATTGCCAGGAGAAGAGCCATCTCCGTCAATTGCTGGCATTTTTGCTATTACAGCTCCAATTGGTTGATCGTCGCTTATTGTGACTGGTTCCGGTACTGACACAAATACAGGAGGTATGTCATTTCGATCATCTACATTGACAATGATTCGAACAAAATCTCCTGCACCTTCTCCATCATTTTCGATAGTTCCAACAATTAATTCGTGTTGTTTATCTTTTTCATAATCAAGGCCTTGAGTAGTTTTGACACTTCCACTCTTCGCATCGACTTTAAATAATTCTGTAGACCCTTTTCTTATCACATATGTCACTTGTTTAACAGTGTCAGGATCAACGGCTTTAACTGTTGTAACAACATAATCGGGCACGTTTTCAGGAATATGTACATCAATTCTCGAATCTGTAAATTTGGGTAATTCGTCCGGTAAATCATTTACTGATACGGTTACACTTGCTGTACCAAGACGAGCATCAGGCGCTCCATCTTTTGCCGTGACAACAAATTTATATTCATTTTGTGTTTCGTAATCAAGTTTCTTGGTTGTTCGTATTTCTCCGGAATCTGGATTTATCGTAAAAGGGATTTCAGCTGGTATGGAATATGTTATTTTAGCATTAATACCTTCATCTTCATCAGTTGCATGTACAACACCTACAACAGTGTTTGCATTACCTTCATCGACGTGGAATAAATATGGTAAAGAAGCTTCGTCAAACTCAGGATTCTTGTCATTAATATCTGCTACTTTAATATTAACAGTGGCTGTACTAGAAAGCCCTCCATTATCTTCGGCTCGAATAGTTAATTGATACCTTGTTAGACTTTCTCTATCCAATTTTCGTATAACAGTTATTACACCAGTATCTTGACCAACTGAAAATTGCCGTAAATCATTTCCAGAAGTTATAGCATACATAACAGGATCATTTTCAGGGTCATCGGCTTTGATAACAATCACAGTCGAATTAATTTCAGCGCCTTCACTAACTTGCACGTCATAGACGTTTTTAGCAAATCTAGGAGGTTTTGTGTTAGGTCCGGGAATTACTACAATATCAACAATTGCTTGCGAATATAGGCCTCCAATATCTGTTGCTTGTACCGTCAAACTGTATTGCTCACCAGCTAATAGTTTAGCATTTGATTCAATTTCACCTGTATTTTCGTTGATAGAGAATTTTTTACCACCATTATTTGATACATGATAAATTGAGTATGATATAACAGCATTTTCAGCTTCATCATTGTCTGTTGCTTTAACTTGCGTTACAAGTCTCCTTCCATCGCCTGCAGTTATTGTTATTGGCGGTATCATTGGCAATTTAGGTGCGTTGTCATTAACATCCCTAAGGTATACAGTAATACTTAAAGGTGCGCCTGCAGCATTTGTTTCTGGTTCCCTTGCAACAACTTGGAAAGTGAATTTCCCTTGATTTGGAGGATCTCTATCCAAATTTTCTTCGTTGACGACCAAAATATTTTCTTTATTTACAGCGAATGAGGGCGTTGTCAATTCATATATATATTTTGGTTTAGGATCATCATTACTTAAATCTGCGTCCGTTGTTTTAAATAAAATTGGCATACCACTTGCCCCTAAAATTTGTGTACCAATCGGAGAATTTTCATCTACATATCCTTCATTTTCGGATACTGTTGTAACAGGTGGATTAGCATCAACTGGTTTTACTTGAATTGTTAATTTTGCTGTTGTAAATCTTTTAGCTGGTGATACTTCTTCTGCCTTTACCACTATATCGTAATGTCTTGCAGTTGAAGTATCAACAGATTTAATTTGTTTTAGAATTCCAGTTTGTTCATCAATTTCAAAATAATTTTCATAATTTCCTGGCATTCCACTTAAAAAAGAATATCTTATTGATGAACTTAAAGTATCTAAATCAACTGCTTGAATTCGTTCAGGTAATACGCTAAGTACACCTTGTAATGAACCAGCTGGAACTGATGCTGTATATTCGGGATTTATGCATGCGCCATCTAATAGAACACATCCTCGGTAAATGAAAGACGGATCTAAATCATCAGAATCAGCTATATTTACTAGTAATGTTGTTGTTGAAGATAAACGTGCTGTTACATTCCGTGCTCGATCCTAGATAAAGATTAAAATGATTTAATTAAAAAAATATGTACTTAAAGAAGAAATATAGAAGAAATAAATCTGTGACTTTCAATAATGTAATGACGGTTATTAGATTGGAAGCTAAAGGGTTATTTCTAAAATAAGTAGTTATAGGCTCACATTAAGAACGTACGTTTTCACTAAACTGTAAATTTGAACTGTTATCCTGATATCAATAAAATATTTTATTCCTTTAAAATTCCTTGGCCTAATGTGTGTTATACATTAGATGGTAATAGGAGAACTAGTTCAAAGAATATAACTTTCATTAGTGACTCATGAAACATGAGTCTGATCGGCCGATGAGTCAAGTCACTGGCGAGTAGAAGCATATGTTCCTACTTATATATATGAGGACTATTTTTCCAACTTTCAAGTTGGAAGGAAGATGCACTTAATGTTTTCAATAGTTTTCGTTTTCAATAAGTATTTTTGTTCTTTTATTTTCAAACAACGCGAAAGTGAAATTCGTTTTCTTTCTTGTGAATCTTTTAAATTTTATCTTAATTTTTTTTTTATTTAAAACTTTTCGTTTTTATTTTAGGGTTTATTAATGTATTATTTTATATATTTAATATCTTTAATCAGAGATCAGACTAGGTCAAGTTAAATTAAAGTTTTTATGACCAAAAACAAAAACAAAATTGAAAGAGTGCAAAAAGCGAAATAAATTTTTTTTTTAGGTGAAAGCTTTTTTTTTTTATAGAATTTTCGTTTTCTTTTACGTGCTTTTCATACCGGTGGGTATTTGCTTTCTGTTATCTTCATTGCACATTATGGAGGCTTATATAATTGTTTGAGAATACACCATAATTGTCAAAATCTCATAATTTGTCGTAATATTAGAGATTTGTCATAATTTTAGAGATTTTCATAAGCACGATACTAGAAAACAAAGCAATACTGCAACAACATTAAGTGACGGGCATGCAATATGCTTTTAACTATTTTGTAAAAACAAAACACTTTATATGACTAACATTAACTACGCTACACATAAAAATTTCTTTCTATTGCTAATAATTTAGCAATGTTTGTTTATGAACATAAAAAGAACCCAGTTTTCACCATAATGTCACAGTGTGCTCCCAATGTACTGTGCTTATGAAAATACCTAATTATGTTACTTTTGATGCTAATAAAAGAGGGCGTTCAGAAAAATACAAATTCGACGTTAACTTCAGTTATTCAGCTATTAAGATTGCATTGATTAATAATTTAAGTTGATATTAGATTCGAGTTTTGGTAAAAATCTTTAGTGAGTTATTATTATTACCTAACTAATTTTAAGCAAATAAAAAATTAAAATAAAGTTGAAGTTAAAAATCTTGAATACCAAAAATTTGGAATACCAAAAATTTGGAATCCCAATAACAATAATGGCATGTCCACATGTACATATATTTCAAATAAATGTCAAGTTTGAATGTTTTTCATTTTTCGTGATATAACGTAATAACATTTTGTATTGTGACAAGGTATTTTGCTTTTAATTCGAGACTGTTACTTTATTCTCAAAATGTTCACAAATGAAATTGAAATCTTAATAAAATGAAGGTGAGAATTTTTAATTGAAGTTGTCATAATTAACGTCATATGAAAATTATCAAATCAAATCAAAAAAATAAAAATAATTTTTACAAAAAAAGAAAATTGGCATTATTTATCAAATTTTAAATTAACAATATTAAAATAAAAAAAAACATAAAATTTGAATTAAGTTGTACAAAGTTAATGGTGCTACACTCCATAGGAGTCATGCGATTATCAAAATACTCAGTTAGTTCAAAGAGGGGAAAAAAAAGGACAAATCAATCAACAAAATTTACTGAGATACTGGAATGAAAACTGTGATAATTACATAACCCGATTGTAGAGGATGTAAACATTGAATACAAAAAAAAAAATTAACAAAAGATGGTGGTTTGTTTTATTAAATTTAAAAAGAAAACAAAAAATCAATTACCTACAAAGATTTATTAAAAATTTTTCTTATTTTTTTCGATAAAATTAACTTTGGGTTCGCGTTTGTACTGATGATACTCACTTTTTTTTCTCAGTACAATTTACAATCAAAAATAAAATTTCACTAGTATACTGGAACATACAAAATAGCGTTATAACATTATTTTGTCATGCTGTGTTTTGGCCGCAATGTGCCCCCATGAATAATAATTTTTTTTTTTGTTGCTCATTTTTGTTATTGTGCACTCATTATACACATTGGTCTACTATTCTGTTTTTATATTTTTAGTATTGGATTACAATCTGTAGGAAGAAATGATTGTTGTCTTTGAATAAGAAAAAAATAAAACAACAACAGAAAAATCATGTTTGTTAAAATGACTTTATTGTAAGAAAAACGTGTATTCAGATTTTTTTTTTATTTTCATCAATTATTAGAAAATGTTATCTTTTATTTTTGTTTTCTTGATGTGCATAACATGTCTAATGGAAATTTGTTTTTTATTGAAATTTTTCTGTTGTCATATCATATACAAAACAAATTGTATAAATGAAAAGTGTAAGGTGTGAATCTTGAATAATTTTTTTTGTTTTTTTTTTTTTGAATTTATGTTGTAACATTCAAATTGCATGCATTACATAACAAATTGAAAGAAAAAGTCAATATGGTGTTAATTGATAGTCTCATAACAAAACATACTTTAGGTATTACAGATATAGTAACAATATAATAATTGTTATATTGTTATATTTGAACTTGTATTTCATTTTATTATGTGCTCTCAATTTAAGTTGTCTATGAATTTGTAATTTATATTGGGTATACTAGTAAGAATAGGTCCAGAAAAATATTTTGTCAAAATTTCGTGTAAATTGAGAATTAAAAATTGTGGGTTTCATACTTGATTTAAATGTTATAGTTTGACAGTCGAATTTCATCTAACGTCAGCTATTAAAATTTTAAAGGCACTCGAATTGAAGAAAAACCTTAATTTCTAAAATTAAAAATCCAATTTAAAATCAAATACATTTTGAATTTTCTATCATTTTTAAGTTTTATAAAAATTTTATTGAAATTTTAAATAAAATTTTATTGTTTCTAGATTGTTCAAACTTTTAAAATTCTATAACTTTAAATTGTATTTAAAACAAAAATATGTATGAATGTGTACGGGACCAGATGTGTATAATGTTATAAATGGGCATAAAGGAATACGTAACCAGATTAAGCTATAAAATGTGATACACAAAATTATGAATAATTTAATAACAACATAAATTTTAACATTAGTTCAGAGAAGCTTGATATTTTCAAGGTAAGTCAAATTAATCGCCTCATTTATTAATTTCATCTAACAATTAGTTTTCATGAAAAATATGTGGTACATCTAGTTTCAAGGGTTATAATTTTAATATATTCGAAAATTTCATGTCACAATGTAATTATCCGTAATATTTCCTTTATTTGTTATAAAATTTAAAATTTGCTAACAATCCGCAGAGGCATTTAAGAAGAGATATAGTAAATTTGAGACAAATCAAATGTTCATGCGAAAATTTTGAAATTAGTTCTCTTTACTAAGATTTGATTTCTTTAAAAAAGAAGTTCCTATAACCTTTTTAAACGTGTCAGTAAATGAATCCTGTTCATTTGCAATAACATTTGCAATAACGATTTGTATGCATAACAAGTATACAAATTTGTGCTTTCAGTCCTTTCCGTTTGCAATTCGGAGCTTCAAACAAAATATACGGAGAAGCAGGCAAAATGGACGGACATTTAGAACGTCATAATGATCTATACTTAACAGGAGAGTAATGATGAGGTTAAATTCGTTTTTAAAGGAACATACCTGCTTCCTATGATACGTAGATGAGCAGAAAAATATAAATTTCAAAAAAGTTGTGAAATTAATTGAAATTTTTTTCTAGCCTATAAACTTTGAAATACCACGTCTATTGTTCATTAAATTTAAATAATAAAAATTACATTTCATTGCTATGAAGTTCAAGTTAAAGCTTTGGCTTTGTTTGATTAAATTTTGAAATTTGACCACTTGGTTGTAAGAATTACCATAATGGTTTATGTTTATGATAAAAATTTTTTATTATACACATACACACATGTACATTGCCTTAATAATTAATTTCTAACCGGAACTAACATACATAGAATTCAATATATCTACAATTTAAATAAACTATACTTTCCATTAAATGGAATTCTTATAATTGAATTTTAATTAACAATTTATTAAATCTTAAAGAAAAAATTAAAAACAAAAGATTTTTTAAATTTCTTTATTTTTTTTTCAACAAAGAAAATTAATCAATTTTTTTTTAAATTGTTTTTATCTTAAATTTTAGATCAAAATTAGTTCCTTTTCTAATTTGTTTTAAATTGATTTCAACTAGAAGAAAAAAATAAACTAAATATTTATTTTTAATTATGATGGTTTTCTTAAGTCATTAATCACAAGTCTAACTTGGACAGCCACACAATAATTATTATTAAAGCAATTTGTAAAAATAAATACGCTGTAAGTACCAAAATATGTACAAACATGTCTGCAATATTTGAAATTTAGCCAACATAAAAATATCATTTCTTACTGACTGCATTACATACCAAAAGGAAGGTTATGTGACGGCATCAAATTTCGCATGTTAAGTTTTTGACAGAAATGTGTTTCTCCACGCTTGGAAAGCGTAAATCAACTACTTTAAGATATCTGCCGGTTTCTCGGTCGGTCGGTCTGCCTGTCAGTCCGTCTGTTCAGATCAGTATCTTAAATTCTGCTGGATCGATTATCACGAAAATTTATATCTGAATTTACATTGAAGAGATAGATGAAATGGTTTGGTCAATATTACAGACTTTTTGTTTTTAATTATATTCAAGAAAATAATCAGCTTGATTTATACTCTAAAATTTCATGTATGCATGAGCTCCACCTGACAATACAACAAGTCATCTAAGATTTTGATTTTTGATTTACAAGTCA